TTGATATTGTTTAAAAAGAAAATGTGTATTACTCTCCCCTCCCCCGCCCGGCCATTCTAGAATATTCTAAGCTACAGTCCTTCTTCCTCCCATAGGACTTTACCGCCCCCCCCCCCAACCACCCACCTTGCTCTTGTTTCTCTAGATAACTCTGGTTTGGGGGAAATAATCTTCCACTTCCATTCCATGGCAGATTCACTCTGCCTTTAATAATTAAAAAAAAAATCAAAATATTTATAAACTGGGGCTTGTTAATGTTTGATATTTTTGGTTATTAGCAATAAATTTCATAAGCATCCAGCTGTGTGTATCTGTATCTTCCTAGTCACCTCAACAATGGACTCAGGCAATTTTCAACTAGTCTAGTCCTGCAGTGCCAGAAATGGATCGTGATGAAACAATTAGCCAATTTTCTGCTAATGCTAATATACTCATGTAACTAGTATTAATTATTATTATTATTAGCCACAACCAAGAATGGGGTCCTTTTACGCCACAAAAACATAGTAAAGGACAGTCCTGAGCCTGAAGAGCTTACTGTGCAAGTAGAAAAGAGACAAAGGGTGGGAAGGGGAACATTTGGGAGGGAAGTGACTTGCACAGCCAGTCAGTGGCAGAGCTGGATGTGATGCCCAAGTCTCTTGACCCCCTGTCCAGGGCCTGTCCACCAGCCCACCCTGCCTCTCAAGGTAACCCATATTCACCCAAGGTGGATTTTGTCCCTTTCTAGAGGCTGGACCATGTACAAAGGTTTATGAATCTACTACCACCCCTAAGCGAATAACTCTGGTTGCAGAGGCTCATGCTTTAGATCTAGAGACCGCAGGTTCATTCCCCACACACAATCCAGCTGGGGCATCATTAATGGGAGTCTTAGTTAAGAGGGGGGAAATTGCACGTAATGTGAGGCTGCATCTCTCATATTAACACCACCATTAGGTAGAGATCAGAAGACCCCTTTCCCTCCCTGTTGCACCCAGACTGCTCCCCAGGCAAAAAGCACAGGGAAAGGTGGATCTTGCCTCTTTTCTGATTGCTTTAGCTGCTTCCCCACAAGTAGCACATGGAGAAAGAACACCCTGCACTCCTCTGAGCACAGAGACTGCAATTGCATTGGCCTTTTATGTGAGTCATACAGGCATAAGCAAAAGTGTTGCATCCATCTCCATCTCTTCGCACACACAAAATCCAGCCTTTAAACTGAAATATATATTTTGTAGAGTCCCATATACATTTATTGGGACATACAGTTATGAACAGTAAACAACACACAAGATTCACTCCATCCACCACTGCTATGTAGCTATCTTTGCAGCCCAAGTCAGCCAAATTCAATAAGTACTCATAGGAACTTTCTGTATGACCCTATATATTTAACCAGGTTTTGAAAACTTTACCCAATGCCTCCTAGTCTGGCTGAAAATATCTGTGCTACCACTTCTCATAACCTCACACCTCCACTGCAGTGTACACAATCTTTGATTTTAAGATTCACAACCAACTTTCTATTTGATAATGGCAAGATACCCAGAAAATAGGTGTCTAAAGTAAGACTCCTCAATCAATATTGACATGACTAAAGTAGTGGTAAGGCTTTCAAAGGTGCTTTGCACCCAGCCATTCCCATAGCCCTAACTTATTTACTTCAATGAGAGATTCTGGGTCCTCAGCCACTTCATTTGGTGCCTAAATACCAATTTAGGAGCCCAACTTTAGGCACCCCGGCATACAGATCTTGGCTTAAATATTTACAAATTTAATCTAGTGCTGATAGAATAACAAAAATAAAGATTTAACATATCATTCAATGATCACTGGTGTCCCTCAAATGATATATTCTCCAAATAGTATTTGGCCAGCTGTAGTATTTGTTGAATAAGTTATTTGACAAATACCTGTGAAATTTGTCAAATATAGTCACTGAATTTTATTCAGCCACATTTTCTTACTGTCTCTCATTTGTGTTTGAGAAAAGGAAGGCTAGAGATAAGACAATAGTTAGAATACCGCATTGGGGGAAGCATATGGGTGAACTGAACAGAAATAGGTTTTATGTATGAAATATATTGTTCCACAGCTAAATGCTTCTCCACTCTACTGTCACAAGTGGGTGGTTGCTCACCGGTAGTTAAAATAGCCCAC